TTGTTCTTCTTCCCCTGATGGGGGAGCAGCCTTACCAGGCCACAGAGGAAGACAATGCAGCCAGTCCTGATGTGAGCTGATGGACTAGGGTCATATGGAAGGGGAGGAGGCTCTCCCCTATCAGTGGACTGGGGGAGGGGTATGGGAAGAGAAGAGGGAGGGAGGGTAGGATTGGGAGGAGATGAGAGAGGGGGCTACAGCTGGGATACAAAGTGAATAAACTGTAATTAATAAAAAAATTAAGAAATTAAAAAATAAAACAGACTGCTCCAAAGCTTTAACATCTTGGTGTTTTTAATATAAAGGGAACACTGTCTTCACATAACATTTCCATCACCTTTGGTGTGAGAAAACCTTCCTGCAGCAGAGAAAGACACTCGAGAGTGGGTCAGGAAGTCAGGTGCTCACAGACAGGTGTCTTAGATTAAGCGACAGTGCATCTTTTTCACTTTGATAATGGAATGGCTGATGATCATGTAAGAAACAGCCTCCTCTACCTGAACAAGTGTCTTGTTTCCTGAAACAAATGATTTACATTTTTAGGATAAAGTAGGGCATTGAGAGACTTTTGGCATGTCTCAGTGGCATTTTTAGTCCAGAGGAAGTTAATGAGTATTTTCTGTCTTCCTTTTTCTTCCTCCCCCTTCCTCTTTACACTCCTTCTCCACCTTCATTTTGATCACTTCACATATGGCATTTTGAAAAGGCATCATGGATTTTTAAAAAAAACATTTTGTAAAGTCTCTGACAGTCATAATTCCAAATAGGTCTTTCCTTTCTATATTTTTTGTCATGATATTTAAACAAGATAAAAATAGATATCACTCTAGTTTTGTTAGGACCAATTAATGAATGATGAGGCACACAGCAGATTTTATATGAAAGAGGTTTATTAGATGGAGATGAAAAGAGAGAGAAAAGGAGAGAGGGAGACATGATAGGGGGAAAAGAGTTGAGTGCCTCAATAGAGAAAGGGAAAAGGGCAAAAGCCATGAGAGCAAGAGGGCAAGAGAGAGACAAAGTGGGCAGGTTGATTCTTTTAAGTAGCAAGGTAACCATACCTGCTTGCTGGGGACACATGATGCCATCGTAGGTTGCTAGGCAACCCAGAAGCAGGCTGCTAATAAGCTAACATTCCTCCCTTTTTCTACAATTAAAAAATGAGGAACTTGGGCTGCTTCTCATGTAAGACAAGTTAAGTATATAAATTTAGGTTTATTGGAAGCAGCTCTTCGTTGCCATGCAAGGGGTTAAGAGAGAAAAGAAATAACAGCAACAAAATGGCCGTATTATACAGTCAAGTGGAGGAGGTAAAGCCCCTGACCTGGGAAGTTCAGGGTTCATGGTTGCTAGTAGAGAGTTGCCAGGCACACAAGGCAGCAAGTAGGGTCTGAGGAATGCTGGGAGAACCTGGAGCTGCCTGTCCTGGTCCTGAAGCACACCAGGTTTCTCTCTCCATTCACAAATTTATAACACTAGGAGTTTTCCTAACTTTGGAACAAATTTTAGATTAAAATACATGCTTGCCTTGATTGCAGGTTATTATAACATCACAAGCATTGCAAACTTTTACCAGGCTTTGGAGGATGAGCTTGAGATGGGGAAAAAACATTCCCTCCCTCTGCCTTGACAAGGGTAACTCTGTTTCTTCCTTCTAGACTTTTAGTTTCCTTCAGGCATGGGAAATTTCTACAAATTATGACAAGTTAAATTACAGAGACAACAGAAATATGGTGAATTACTCATATGCAAAAATTTATGTTCAAACATCATTTTGGGAAACTCCATTAACAAGACATAATTTTGAACTGCACTTTGCATGATTTTAGATATTTCAGACATTCAAAATAGTTTACAAATCCAGGGATTTCACCTGTAAGAAGGAGTTTCCCTGTAAGAAAGATTCTGGACCAAGAGGTGAGTATGAGAAGAAACGACTGAGTGATAGTATATCCCATAGCTTTTTGATCTTTAACCTAAAGAGAAATTACTTGGCGCCTTGTAAATGATGGTCTTGTTTCAGTATGTTTAGAAACAGACCTGGCATCCTACATGTAAGTTCCCAGATGATCCCAGTGTTGCTGGTTTATGGACTACACGGCATATGTGTTGAGAAAGTCAGTGAGCATGTGTGATAATTCAGAGGATGGAGAAACAAGTAGGAAAGTGAGAAGAAGCAGGGAATGGCTTGCTGCTGGACATTCCACTCAAATGCTCACTGAAGCCAGGAAGAGATGAGGACGGGGAGGGTGTATGGAGTGCAATGTGGAACCAGAAGGCACCTGTCACCCTAAAGTATAAGTTTCCTAAGAATCTGAAGAATTGTTGCCCTGTACAAAATAATACTGATGTCACCCAGTCTCTCACTTGCTAAGATGAAGACTTAAATTCTACTGTATTTTAATATAAAACCTATGGATTTATAAATCCTGGGTTAAATTTGTACATATACACAAATTTATACATATATAGAAAAACACAAGCATTGTCAGCAAAGTCTAACAAGCATACAGAATTTGCTTGTTAGACTTTCAAGGACTTCAAAATCTTAACTAAGGTAAAAGCCCAGAATTTGAGCAGAAGTGGGTATGAAGAAGCCTTTCAAGAGACCCTGAGGCTTACTGGTAGACAACTTGGCTAAAAGTTGTGAATTAGAGTTTCATGGAAAGTGAGAAGGAAGGGTCATAACCAAATGTCAAGATGGTGTAAAAAGAAGACTTGTTTATCTTGAGGCAGTTTTGTTATATAGCTTTTGCTAGGCTTGTACATGCTACGTAGACCAGGTTAGTTTCAATCTCCTGACATCCCTCCTCCTCCTTCCTCAGTCTCCCAAATGCTGGGTATATGCCACCATATCTGGCTCAAGAATTGTCTTTAAAAACAGAATTGGTGTCAGAAAATATTGTGGCAAGTCTTATTGTAGAGTATAGGTAATTAAACATAAGATGAAATGCTGAATTATCAAAAATATAAAAACAAAAATAAAGCAAAAGAAAGGTGCTGCCTTAGTGAGGTAACAGCTGTGTTAGCTACAACATGACAATCTTCCAGGAAAGACAATCATCCAGCAAGCGAAATTTTGCTTGTTGTTCTGTCGCCAAAGCTTCATCATCATAGTAGTTAGGGCTAAAATTTCAAGCCTATGGCAGAAGTTAGAGATGGAGTCCAGAACTCATCAGCCTCTTTGGCGCCAACATGTTATCAGGCTGGACTTTAATCTAGCTTTAAGGACGAGAAGGAAGAAGTCAAGCTTCATCCTCAGAAAAATTATCTGGTCTTGGAACAAGCGTGACTCTTATGGACTCGGGTGGAGGGAGAGGGGCAGATTTGAGGCTTAGTGTGAGAACAATAAACAGTCTCAGGAGACTGGCTGGTCAGAATGAAGGAGCGTGATAGTCAAGGAGCGCATGTTGTTTGCAAAGCCTCCAAATATGGCAGAAAACATAAAGTTGTAAGGAAAAGTTTGGGGCCGTCTATGGGTTACCATTAAAAGACATAGCCTTCCCTCTACACTGGCATTTTAAATTAAACTAGTGCCAGCCGTTTCTCTCCGGAGCTGTTTAGAAGGCTTCAGTCAAAGTGTTGCTTTATTTTGCCTCTTTGTTGTTTGTCAAGACTACAGAGGCAGACTCTGTAAAAACTGTCAACATCAAAACACCTTTATTCTTTTCACTTTAAAAATATAACACAATGAAGATATGGCAGAGTCTGGGCTTATTAAGAATCTCTCAGATTCACTGAGAGAGCAAGGGTGCTGGGGAGCGAATGCCCAGCCCAGGAGATTCAGCCTGATGCCAGTGAATCATAGACAGAAAAGCTGGATATGGTACAGCCTAAAGAAAAGACTTCATCAAAACCCCAGCCGCAGTCTCCGTAAATTTCCAAACACTACCCAGAGTTCTCAGACAGCAAACATCAAGAGAACAAGAAGCAGCAACGCAGTGAATGACAACACTTACTGATTTTTAAACACATTGCAGGTGATTTTGTACCAAATTATACAAGTCAGGGATGCTTATACATTTAACCACTTCCTTTCAGTGCTCTAAAACAGTAGAAACCTACAGTTTTAGACTAAGTGAATCAACAGATTTCATTAAGATTAAGATTCCTCTGTCATGAACTCGATTGCCTGTTCTTTGATTACTTGCCCCTGGCAATGCAGCCTTGCCAGGCCACAGAGGAAGGGGATCCAGGCAGTCCTGATGAGCCTTGATAAGCTATGGGCAGATGACAGAGGAATAGAACTCCTCCTTTCAGTGGACTAGGGGAAGGAGATGGGGGAAGAGGAAGAAAGGGTAGGACTGGGAGGAGTTGAGGGAGGGGGCTTCATTTGGGATATATAATGAACAAATTGTGAAAAAAAATTAAAATTAAAAAAAAAGTTCCCTTTGAACCTCCCTGTGTTGTCCACAGTAGCTGGGCTGCCATCCTCAACAAAGCAGGGTGGACACCAGCACCCCCCAGTTGATGTGCTTAGAAGCTGAATTCAGGCCCTTCTGAGCTCGCTCTAAGATACACTACAGGAAATCTTTTCCTCTACGTTGATTTCCTACTTTTGGTTAGAAAATACGGATGCAGGTCCCACCCAAACAGGCACAGTTGAAGGAGAAAAGGAACACAATTCAGAGAGAGAGAGGCCCACCGTGAAGAAACGTCTACGGCCTGCCTATTTCTGCATTGCAGCAACACTCAGAGAGCATTTGAGACGTCAAACGAGAGCAAAGACACATAGCTATGTATGCTAATTTGAGCACAGAAAATTGGCTCTAAGAAAATATGAAAGGAAATAGGGGAACCTTTCCAGGTTTTCGTTTTCATGTTTGTTAACTTTCGTTCCAAAACCCCTAAAAACAAACAATCATAAAACTATTTGATGGCAACGTACTGTAGAAAACTTTACAACTTCCGCACGCTCAGCTCCATCCAGCGAAAGCGGGCATGGTTTGTGAAGTGATTCCCGAGGCTCACTTTTTAACCTTTGCCCTGGTTCTTTGCAGGAAGCAGAATGCGCCTACGTCCTCTTTGTTGTTGCCCTTTTGTGGATCACAGAAGCCTTGCCCCTGTCAATTACAGCTCTACTGCCTGGCTTAATGTTCCCCGTGTTTGGGATCATGCCTTCCACGCATGTAAGTCTTTCAAATGCTGTTTAAACTCGATTACTTACTTTATGTGGTGACATCACTTGAAAAAATTTGCCTTTCAAGAGGGTCGTGATCTTGAGATATGGCTTCTTTGTAAGTGTTCCAAACTTTCAAGTACTCCTTTCCTGAGATTTTCTGTGTTTATCTACCTTTTGAACAAACAGGTCACAGCTTCTTGAGTCATGAGAGTCTACAGAGGAAATGTGTCCATCTTCTCTTGCTGATATTTCTAGCTGGTGCCTTTCTCCCAACAAAAGGGGACATTCATTCACACCCTGAGTAATCTTGTACTGTTCCTCAGAATTTGAACTCACAGTGGGGAAAAAAAAAAAAAAGGAAACACTTTGTGCTTTTAATAAAGATAAAGTCTCCCTGTTTTTTTTTTTTTTTCTAGAAACCTGGTATTTCAAAAGATAAAGCGAAATTAACTTTCATGTGCATTTTTATTTTGTTCTTGCTGAGAGAAGTTTATTCATGCTGAGAGCTATTTTTTACCTTTACACAGTCTAAGGGTGCCCATCTAAAGAAAATAGATCTAGTTTTCCCATACATACACGAAACACCCTGAAACCAGAACACTTATCTCCATTCAGTCTCCGGGGAAATAAGTGCCTGAGCAGGAACGTTCTTAGGAAAGCCTTCAAGTTCAAGCTGACAATGCAGTCTCCTTTCCGCCCGTCTCCTGCTGCTGTCTGGACACTCACACCTCTTTCACGTGGATGGAGATTTTCTTTTCCAACTGGTCCTGGTTAAGTTCTTCCTATGAGAGGAACTGTTCCTACTTCCTTTGCACATAGTTCTTCCCCGCTTGGGAGCCGACATTATTTCATACTCAAGATCCTGTCTGTTCCTCTTTTCATACCATGCCGCCGCTACCATCCTCCTAACTTTGCTTCTGTTCTTTCTTTTCCTTTTTTTTTATGTTTAACTTATTTTTTAAATTCACTTTCCATCCCGATCATATTCACCTCCTAGTCGCACACTCCTGACCTCTTCCCTCTACCCTTACTCCCCTGCTCCTTAGAAAAGCCCCTCCCCTCCCAACCAATCCCAACACATCAAGTCACATCAAGACCAAGCGCACCCTCTTCCAGGGAGGCCTGGCAAGACAGCCCGCCAGAGGGAACTGATTGAAAAGCAGGAAACAGTCCATGTCAGAGATAACCCCTGCTTCCCTCACTGTGCAACCCTCATGAAGCCTCAGCTGCCCATTAGCTACTTCTGTGTAGGGGGGCCTAGGTCCACTCCACAGTGGTCCTTGGTTGGTGATTCAGTCCCCGTAAGCCCACCCTGGGCCCAGGTTATTTGACTCTGTCTTCTGGTGGAGTTCTTGTCCACTTCCGGTCCTTCTAGTCTCCCCTCCCCCCTCCCCCAAGGCTCTCCACGCTTCAGGCTAACGTTTGGCTGTGTCGCAGCATCTATTTTGATCTGGTGCTGGGTGGAGCCTCTCAAAGGACAGCTTCTGTTCTTTGTAGTTAGGATTATTTTGTAGGAGAGCATGGCAAGGGAGAGGCTCAATTCCTCTAATCTCTATGCTGAGGTTCAGCTTCTGAGGGATCTGAAACCCCAAGTCTAAGTTTCTTAGGTGGTCTAACGTGGGGAACACCAAGCAGAGACAGCAGAGATATTGTCGGAGCTAACAATGCTTGTACCGCTGTGGATGGCAGTTACCTGTCCAGGAAACCTTCGTTTCCAAAGGTGACAACATCACCATCCCTTGGGTCTAAGAGGTGGAAAAGACTTCTTAAGAGGCAACTCTCACCTAGGGCAGGTATCGTCTCCATCTTCTGTCCTACAAACGACATCCTTTCATATCTTTTTGGTTGCAGGTCTTCAATAACACCCAAGGGGGTTAATTTTTACTTTTAAGAAGTTCATTTAGACCAAGTCTGATGTTCAATTACATTTGGTCCATGCAACTTTTACTTCACATCTGTTCGGCAAATACACATCAAAAATGCACATAACATTTCTTGAATTTTAATATTAATGGAATCCCTACTTCCAGACTTTATGATGTCTAGATCTTAACTACTCTCTTCAAACTTATCACATCTATCGCTGCCACTGTCCCATCTTCTTTTCTTATTCCAGAACTAACTGCAGTTTGTCAACAGAACTTACAGTTAAGCCAAGTAATGAATTAGCTATGTTTCCTGTTGGCGTGATAAAATATCCCAGCAAGGGTAAATTCAGGGAGGAATGGTTTACTTAGGCGCACAGTTTGGGTTTATATTCTGGGGCGATGTTAGCGGCAAGAATTTGAGGCAGCTGGTTACATTGTATCTGCAGGCAGGAAGCAAAGAGCAACAAACGTTCAGCTCAAATCCTCATTTCTTTCAGCCCAGGATGAATGGCTTTGCTCGCACTGAGCAAGTCTTTCCATCTTAACACAATCTAGATATTCCCATTCAGGTGTGCCTAGAGGCTAACTTAATGTAGAAAAAATTTTTTTTAAATTGGCGTCTCCTCAGGCTTGCATCCCAGATGATTCTAGATCCCCTCAAGTTGCTCAGTGTAAATGTAAAATCTGCTACAAAGTAAGTATAAAGTAAGTGCTAGTTAATGTAACTAGTAGATTGACAAAACCAGACTATTTTAAAAATATCTGGAGTGCTGCAAAAGCAAATACTTGCCCCATATATGTTCTAGTCTGATACTTCATTCTGTCCACCTACTAAGCAGAAATGGAGCTTACAGGAAGTCGAAGCACTGGGGACTTTTAGGGGTGATGTCTGTTCCTCCCTTGTGATCCCTTTTCCACAAAGGATAGATAATTAACCTTTAACCACACTAACTATCTGACCAAAGCTAGTATGGACAGAGCTACAGATTTAGTCAGAAAGATATGAGTTATATAGTTGATATTCATATAATCTGTAAGTGAAACGTGACACCACGTACGTGAAGGATTTAAACTCAAATAAAATGTTAAACAATGTCCAAATGATGATACAATACCCACGAGTTTTCATAACAGTTCGAGAGTGTTACCCTACATTATATCCCATGTCAGCAGTTTGGAATGTCAAATCTATCATTGAGTAGGTAAGTATCTTCGTAGAAGTAGGGAGCCCTAAGCATGTCTTTCTTTGGCTTCCATTTTTATGATCTTGTTTACATACTATAAAGCCAATGCTGAATATCAAACCTTGCTATACATTACTGTAATTGAAAAATACCAACAACTATCGAATTTTTATGGTGTTAAGTTAAATCTAAACTGCTAATTAGTTGAGTGTAATCAATTTGATCATCTATAACAGATATTAGTATTACTATGATTGAAAATACATTTATATACAAAATATTTACATTTTTATACAAAATATATGAGAAAACAATCCATGCACATATAGATGTTCTGTTACATATTTACTCAGTCATCAAATAAATATTTATGTGGTTGCACCTGCCAGACATTGGAAAAAAATTATAAATAAAACTTGGGGAAATTTTTATGAAAAAATAGTCAAATTTTCCTATTTATTTTAGGAGAATGGAGAAAGTGAACAATATAACTGATAAATAGATGTGTTGAATAGTTTGTTTAAAACATAGTTAGTAGGGCTTGGAGAGATGGCTCAGTGTTTAATGTACTTGCTGTGCAAACAGCAGGATATGAGTTTAGATTCCCAGCACCCACACAAAAAGCCAGGTGTGGCAGCATGAGCCTGTTATGTCAGCTCCCGAGAGGCAGGACACAGGGTGTGCATGGCGGGAAGCCTGTCTACACAACGGCTGAGCCACAGATTCAGTGGGAGAACTGGTCTCAGGAAATAAGATGGAGAGGGCTAGAGAAAGATCCGGAGGTCCGCTTCTTGCCTCCACATACGCGTGCTCAGGCATAGGCATCTGCACACACGTACGCACAGCTGCCTACATCATGTACCCCCCTCCCCCGCATAAAATACATCTAACTGATGGTGTGGGAAAATGCATATAGTTAATGAAAATCCATAGGGATAACAATTTAGATAGGGTTGCCTACTCTAACAAAAGTTCATTATCAGGGAAAAACAACCTATTTACAGGAATAAAGAGTTACTGGAGATGAGGAAGTTGGCTATTTAAGTACTGGGGAATGCCCATTTCTTAAGGGAGAAACACCCAGTACAAAGTCCTCAATCAATACCTACAGTATGACTACAGCCAGAGGAGTATTGGGAAATGAACTGAAGATGGTGGCAGGGAGGGCTGTGATAAGGTTTGGGCTCACCAGGGCCAAAGAAGTTCATGGTAAGCATCTACCTACTGAGAAAGTAGAAACTTAACGAGAATCTTGAGCGGAAAAGTACCATGCTTAGTCAGACTTTGATTTTCAAAGAATAGTTTGAGTTACTGTATTGAGAAACTAAGCAGAAAGGAGACAGGCAAGCTGCTGCCATCTAGGTGGAGACCGTTCAGAACAGGATTTGACACATATATTGACTATCTGACTAATGAAGTGAGAAAGAAACAACCAACTAACTTCCTTTACTTAATAGATACGGCATACAAGTGAAAGAAGAGATTTGCGGATACCTCCTAGGTTTTGGGCCTGTCAAATACGGAATGGAGTTGCATGTCATGAAAATGGGATCATTAGAAGCAGGTTGGCTGTGGAGAAGGGCTTAAGCATGGGGTTCAGTGCTGGATGTGAACATCAGCAATGCTTGTTGGGTATCTAGGTGAAGATGTTGAGTGTGGATTTTGAGGATAAAGTATGATTCTGGGCATCACTTAGCAGAAGTTTCGAGTTCACGAGAGATGGGCTCCTCAGGAATTATTAGATCAGACAGTCATCAACATACAGATTTTTAAAAGTTTATTACTTTAGATCATTTACGAAAGTAAGTGAAGACGTAAAATTGAAACGGAGGCTAGGGCATGACTCAGTGGTTAAGAGTAGTAGCTGGTCTTCCTGAAGACCCAGGGTCAAATCCCAACACCCACAGGGTAGCTCGCGGCTGCCTGTGCCTCCAGTTCCACGGCTTCTGACCTCC